TTTTTTTTTTTGACCCAAAAGTTTTTTGTTTTTCCCCCCCCCCCCCCCCCCCCAAAAAAATCACGTCACCCCCAAAATGTTCCCCCCCCCCCCCCACTACGAATGTCACTGCCTCGGGGTTATTACCAACCGCGTGACCCCCCCCCCTTCAGCGCAACGCTGTGCCGGAGGAGGAGGACTCGAAGGAAGGGCTTGTGCGGGAGGAGGGGGGGCACGGCGAGGAAGAGCAGCCCCGCCGCCTAAAACAGTCTCGCTCAAGCGAAGATGGGTCGGGCGGAGGCGGCAGCAGCGGCGGCGGCGGCGGCAGCGGCTGTGGCAGCGGCAGCGGTAGCGGCAGCGGCAGCGGTGGCGGTGGGCCCGGCTCGGGCTCACGGAGACGCAGCAGCGGTTTCGTCAACATTTCGACTCAGGTATCTATGAAGTAGTATTTTTTGAAGATATACATACAATCACACAGGAATACTATGGACCCGTTCGAGGTGTACAACCACACGAATCGATGGAGGTGTACTCATAGCCGTGCATGCCGTAGTCGTTAGACCATTGACCTCGCATCCCTACAAAGCCGGGACGGAGCACGCCGGGTTCTCACTGGACCAGGCTCTCACATCAACAAGCGCGAAGCGCCGTGACGTATTGGGCGAGTCGCATGGAGGGTGCGCTGCATCCTGCTACGGGTGTTCGGCATCTTGTGGTTACTTCCTTGCGTACGGATGACAGCTGTGACCGACTTCATTTATTTTCTGGTGCTTTCACTTCCAGAGACAGTTGTAAGCTCTGTGTAACTGCCTCGACCAATCGTCGGAGGGGTAGCTGATTTCTTTGCAGTGGGTGTGAGAAGAACCCGGCTGCATCCTGGGCTTTTTGAGGATCTAACTAAGCCTGCACATTTTTTTTTTGTATATTCCCTCTACTGGGGCCGCAGAACAGAGACGTAGACATTGCCGAGGGGCTACCCGTAGGCCCGTAACCCGCCTGGGCGGAAGAAATATCGCCGCGTGTCGATAACGAACGGAGCGACAGTGATGGCGGCGGGGACCGGCTCCGTGTCTAAGCATGGTTCTGGTACTTGCGGAACATCTTCGGCAAGTTCCGGAGCAGTATGCATAGAAGTATTCGCAACAGCGTCAGAGAGAGCAGCATCGGTAGCAGCCTCGCGTAGATTGATTCCCCCCTCGTATACCGCGCTCCCTTTTTAAGAACCCGGCAAGTTACTCCGCCGCTGGCGATGCTTGTTTCCAATGCTAACAGCGGCGGTGATACCGCAGTAAAAATAGCACGTTTGTCAAACCACTTTTTATTCCTTCGTCAACACCCTCCCATAGGACCCACTCACTACTAGAGAAGGCCACCCCGGGCGATGATGTTTGTTCAAGACGTGTGGTTCCTTGCTCGCGTTACCCTGCGCTGTGCTATGCATCACGGGGGGGGGGGGGGGGACGGACGGCAGACCCCGGCACGTGCGTCCCACAATCAATCGCTCGAATAACGCAAAACACAAGCTTGACATGATTATTTTGTTTTGTGGAATGTTTATTTGTTCGACACGATTTCTTTTTCGTGGCACTTTTTTTTGTTCGACACGTTTTTTTGTTGTTGTGGCACGACAAGTTTGTTTTTATGTCGCGTTTTTTTTTTTTGTTGACGCGATCAGTATTTTATTTATTTTTTTACGGCAAGGGCGACGAGAAAGAAGAAGACAACGACGGAGACGATGACGAGAGGTTCGCCTTCTCCGAGAGCCAGACTTCCGCCAGGTCGAAGATGGTCAAGTCGGCCAAGACGCCTTCCAAGGAGGTGCAGATCGAGGTACGTACGTACGCTCGGTGCGCGAGTGGTAACTAAAACACATGCCTCCGCTTCAACCCATCCCTTCCGACTGCTGTGGGTATGTAATCTCGAGCGGAGAGTCTGTGATTGTATGCGAAGTTTCTCGAAGCGTATCATGCGGCGGTTGTTTGTTGTCCTGTTTCCGACGGTTGGTGGATGCACGAGTATTGTGCGTGCCGCTTCGGAAGTGGCCGCATGTCCCCGTTCGAGGTTGTATCCACCCTGCCTGCGTGTTTGAGTGCTTGTGTTGTGCCTGTGTCTTTCATTCCATACTTTATGGCGCCGTGTATGCTTGGCGTATCAGCCGGGGTCGCACAGGAAGAAGGTAGCACAGGGGAATTTTGTTATTGTTGTTGCTGCTGCGGCTGTTGTTGCTGCTGCGGCTGTTGCTGGTGTTGTTGTTGTTGTTGTTGTTGTTGTTGTTGTTGTTGTTGTTGTTGTTGTTGTTGTTGTTGTTGTTGTTGTTGTTGTTGTTGTTGTTGTTGTTGTTGTTGTTGTTGTTGTTGTTGTTGTTGCTGTTGTTGCTGCTGCTGCTGCTGCTGCTGCTGCTGCTGTTGTTGTTGTTGTTGTTGTTGTTGCTGGTGCTGGTGCTGGTGCTGGTATTGTTGGGTTTGTTGTGGGGTCACATGCTTTTTCCACGGGTTTTTGCAAGGACTTGAGAGCGGGGGGATTCAGAGGTCGTTTCCGGGGTGAGGTGTTTCTGCGACGCCTGACCTAATGCAAGGGAGGCTGAAGGCTAGTTTGAATGATGTACCGTATATGACACAAGATAACACACCCCCTGGACCGATTTTCAAAGCTCGATTACTCCACGACGAAGAGGATGCATAAACGAAACAATACGTTTTCGAACAGCTCTCGACGAGACGGTTCCAACGCCGCCGTTTTCGGCGCTGTGACTCTTCCTGCTGTTGAGAAATTGAGCTTTGAAAATCGGCCAAGGGGGTGTGTTATCTTGTGTCATATACGGTAAGCAAGTGGTTTCTTCTCCCGGCAGAAGAGAAGATAGTAAGAGAAGCGCGGCTTGACGTTCAAGCAAGTAACCCGGTCCGTTCGGCGAAGGCCGAGGTAGCAGGTGGTGCGCGTTTTGCGTCTGCTCTCGCATGCTATGGTTGTTGTCCTCGTTGTTGTTTTTGCTGCTCGTGCTGTTGTCCTTGATGATGATGTTGATGCGGAGTATGTAACCCACCGACTTCTGAGTGCACTCTTACCCCTGTGTGTGCTCTTGTGGCCTAATTGGTTTTTTTGGTGGCCTTGTTTCTTGGCTTGTCGGCAACTTATTTCGTCCGTCTGCTCATTCGTGTGACCCGCGGTGTGGTTGCTTTCGTGCGTTCATCGTGCGACCTGTAGGAGAAAGACCAAAAGAAGGGCAACGAGCTCAGCGATCTGGCGAAAAAGGACCTCGTCAAGAAGATGATGCGCTTCCTCCTCATGAAAGGTGGGGAAGGGGAAGTGAAGAAGTGCAGTGCTCGTAATAACGGTCAACTTGGTTGCTACTGTCTCCTGGGTGTCTGTTGTGAACGGTCTCCTTGTTGTCTAGTAAGCTGCACCTCGTTGTCTGTCTGTAACTGTCTCTATGTTGTTTGTTGTAATTGTTCCATTGTTGTCATTGTCTCCTTTGTTGTTCGTTGACAGTGGTCTCCTTTGTTGTCTGTTGGAATGGTCGCCCCCCGTGCTGCCTGTTACTGTCTCCTGGTTGCCTGCTGCTGTCACTGCTGTCTTCTGTTGTCGGTTGCTACTGTCTCATTGTTGTCTGTGGTAAACGGTCTCCTTGCTGTCTGTTGAAGCTGGCTTCCTTGTTATCTACTGTCACCGTCTCTTGTTGTCATATGGGTATACATTTAAAATACTCTTATTATCAAGACTAGAACAAAATGATAACACTTTGTCACAAAGTTTGTTTTGTAAGTATCTCAATTAATGATATTAGAATTAAAGCAATCATTGCTACACGGTCATCTAATATTGCACTCTTTAAATATATCGATCGCCCCTGCTGTGTCCTCGTTTTCGGTTGTAACTGTCCGGCAGGGCTGAATCACGAGCCCTTGACTAGGAAGGAGGTGATGGACAACGTGCTCGGGGAGAAGTACCGCAAGGCCGGAGTGCTCAAGTTCATCCTCAACAAGGCCGACGAGAAGCTGCAGCAAGGCATGGGTTTCAAGATCAAGACGCCGCTCCCGGACAAGCCCTGGTTCGTCAAGGACACCTTCTACGTGGTGAACGTGCTGGTGAGACGGAGGGGGGGGGGGCACGTCGTAGCCGTCTTTCTCTTGCCGTTGTTCTTGTTGTTGTTCTTCTTCTTCTTCTTGTTCTCGTTTCTTGTTCTTGTTCGTGTTGCTATTCTTGTTCTTGTTCTTGTCCTTGTTCTTGTTCTTGTTCTTGTTACTGTTACTGCGGTAACACAACTCTTTTTGCCTCTTGTCTCTGCTGCTGCCGCTCCTGCTTGCACGTCCTCCTGCCATCGCCGCTGCGTGGGCGGACGGTTCAAACCGTGAAGAACAACGAGCAACACTTCAAGGAAGTCCTCAGGGGGAAGGGTCAGGCGGGGCGGGGGCTTCTGGTGTTGGTTCTAAGCATCGTATTCTGCAGCTCGGACAAGAGCGTGGCCGAGAACCAGCTGTTCAAGAAGCTCCACGACCACGTCGACAAGAGGGTGAGAGAGCACGTGGACAACAACAACCGCCTGCGTTTGTTCAAAGCATCATGTATTGTACCGTTCTGTTTCCAAGCGCTTGCTATGATGAAGTTTGTGATATATTTCGTGCTTGTTCTGATTGATTTGCTGGTTTTGGAAGCATCACGTATTGCCGTTCTGTTTTGAAGCGCTTGCTATGATGAAGTTTGTGATATATTCGTGCTTGTTCTGATTGATTTTTGCTGGTTTACTCTTCGTCCAGGTTCCCGAGAAGGCGTGGAACGGGAACAACCCCAAGAACAAGGTCAGGGTGCACGTCGATGGGCTCGGTGATGTTCACGAGCACCTGGCGGTGAGTGGGTGGTTCAGGGGTTAAGGGCCGTTTTGTACGCAGCTCTTTTGCTTCCAATTTTGCCAAAATTTCCAAATCCGTAGACCGTTGAACCTCGATTGGCTGCCGAGGAAAATTTCGGAAGTATTTGGGAATTAGGAAAACTGTTGCACTGGCATCGAAACGAGTTTTGGAAAAATAATTGGAAATCTGGAAAATTCCTCGATAGTAAGAGCGATAGCAGTCGCTAGAATAGGAGAGAGAAAAAGCGAAGCGTTTTCGACGCAAGGTCTGCGAAGAGCTTCTTGGAGAAGAACGAAGACAGAAAACACGTAAAAACGAAGGCTTCTCGGCCCAAGACTTCTTGGAAAAGAACGAAGAGAAAAAAACGAAGAAGTTTCGGCGCAAGGTTTGCGAAAAGCACGTTGGTGTACCTCGTACGATGGCACTGAAGTCGGTTGACCGAAGAACAAGATACGAGGCAACTCTCATCGCCTCCTCCTTACTGTTTCGTGACTTTGTACGTCGATGTATACATACGATGCGGGTATGTGCTCGCCTGTCTCGCCCGAAGACCACGCTTATGCTAAGAGTGTAATTCTTCAACAGAGTCAACAAAAGCCCGGTTGTATCGAGCGGATCTTCTCAATACTCGTTCACAGACTTCAACACTTGCCTTCGACAGCTGTTGCGGTATTTTCTCGAGAACGTTAGTCTTTCTGTGATTGTAAGTATATTACCTATAGTTGTGCGGTGGCGGAACTCTTGTTTCATTTCTCACGGCACGTTTCGATCGGACGGTTTCGGTTGCGGCTTTGTCAGACCCCTCCCCCGCCCTTACGGTTTGGTTGGTTGCATGGCAGATGTTCGCGAAGCAGCACTACCTCCTGAAGAAGATGGTGGACAAGCCCACCGCGGACGGGGGCACCGAATCGATCCCGCACTACTCCATGGGACCTCGATCTGTCTTGGAAGTGAGTTGGTAGTTTCCTTCTTTTCCTTTTCTTTTCTTTTCTTTCCTGTTGGTTTCGGTCCTTCTCTTCTCATGCACCACGACGTGCGACAGACAGTATCAACGCATTTGTTGCCGTAAGCCTGACACTGGGACCGTGATGAGTAGGATCGGCAACAGAGTAGTGCCAGGTCTTGCTCATGTTCTAGTCTGCAAGATCGCTTCTCTTAGTCGTGAGGAACTTTTTCACCAATACAGCAGTGGCGTGTTTAGAGGTACCCGCACATTATGTTATGCAGAGTGTACCACGTCCGACTCCCAGCTGTATTTATTTGTATTGTTATGCGTGGATGCTTGCGTGCTTCATTTTGTCTACCCCACCCTGTTCACAAGCTTCACTACCGTTTGACCTTTGCGTAAGTCCCGCTCTACCCCGCCCTTTGCACGCTGCGCTCTAACCTCAGCACCAATTTATGTGTGATTTGATTTGTTCTCTGTAATTGTCGCTATCACTGCTTCATTGGGTGATCGATCCACTCTTGTCCCCGAAAACCGCACTGCCACCGCTGCTGTTTCTTCTCTAGCTTTCGTGGCTTTTGAAAAACCCCTGTTGACACCAACCCAACTCTTTCCTTCTCGGCAACACAACTGCTTCTGCTATCATACCCCTCTGCTTGTACTCGTTCCATACAGTTGTACCTGTCCTTCGCCGCCACCTTGCTTACTGCCACCGCCCTCCACGGCTTTGTCTCCCGCACCACTAACTTTACCTGTAGCTGGTACTACGCATCCCCTCGCGGCGCTTCGCGCTTGGTGATGTGATACGCCTTGTCTGGTGAAAACCCGACGTGCTCCGTCCCGGCTTTGTTGTAGGGATGCGAGGTTCAATGATCTAACGACGGCATGCACGGCTATGAGTATCCCGCACCCGCCCCCCTAATTTTCGATGGGTACGCCCGCACAATGAAATTGATGGACCTCTTCGCCGACCCGTCCCGTCGCCAGATCGGGCACCGCCAACTCGTGGAACTCATGGCCAAGGTAATGGGACAATCCATGGACCCGTCGGACTTGCTGGGTCTGGAAGAGCAAGAGTCGCAGGGCCTCAGCCAGATGGCCACCCAGGAACATTGAACCAATCGCGGCTATAATAACCAGCTGCCGTCGGTTTCCAAAGCTGTTTGTTTGTGGTATTGTTGGTGTTCGTGATCATACGGGTTTGTCGTTTCCGTGTGGTGCTGGCAGTTTCATTTGTATTTTTCAGGCGGGGGTGTACCACGAAGTGAAGTGATGATTTGGGTCGCCCGGGACAAGTTGCAACACGAGAAACATTGTGGAGACTGGCGGGAGCTTCGGTTACGTGGCGTGCTTGGCGCTGTCGTTTTCCTTTAATAGTTGTAGGATGGGCCTCTGTCTTGAAGGTGCCCGTTGCGATGTGTTACATTAGGGATAGTGTAGTTGCCTGCGGGTCGTTTTTCCATGTCGCGAGGGAGAAAGTTATTGCTCTACCGCGGTTGGGGGGGGGGGGGGGGGACCCGCCCCGCCGGAACCCCCCCCGAAATTTCCTGGGCCCTTTGTGTGCTTTAAAGCTAAAAAGGAAAT